TCTGTTGTAGCTGGAAAATCTCTCTCTCTTCATTACAACACAGCGGTTTTTCTCTCACCCTTTGGCTCCAGCCGAAGGTCTCTCTCCCATGGACTGCGAAAGCAGGGACAAAGTTCACCTCACCCTAGTCATATCATGGGGTACTAGGCACCCATGACAGTCCCTTCCTCAGGGGATTCAAGTTCTTCTGAGTCAGAACGTTCAGGGCTTTCAGTTCAGTTTTTGTTGATGGAGAGGTACAGAGACAAAGCAAACGATCAATGTGATCAAAGCAATGTCCAATTTATTATTAAAATCAGTTTACTTTTATACAGTTTAGTTTGTTCAGGGTACATGCTCACAACAAGGTGATTGGATAGCTCAGTCTGTACACGCCTCTCATGCTTTTAGTTTATTGGACCTGGTTGTTTGTCCACGCAGCCTAAGATCATACTTGGCATGTGAAGCCTCTTGTCCCGAGATTTGCAGGTGTTTCATTATCTCCAGTTTCTCAAGGCTTTCTTACCATAAACATAATATGTTCTCAAACCTTATAATTATAAACACATGGCTAACAAGTATAAACATCACATATTTTCACACAGCTTGTCACTTCTGAAATCATGGCAAACAAGGCCTACAGAGTGCAGGAAAAATTGTTCAGAGAAATCTTTCTGTTCCGGCCACAGTTTTTGCCCCAGGCATTCTACCAGAGCTCCTTTGCTCCATCTCAAACTGCCAGCATGGCAAACGGGAGGGAAAAGGGAGGTCACTTTCCCCTGCATTCCTTCTGGCCATCCTGGTCCAGCTCCAGGACATCTCTGCATTTCAGGACTCCCTTCAAATGGAAGTCCACCCTCTCCTTCCAAAAGGGGTCTCAAGGGTTTGGGGAAATAAAAGCCAAGTCTCACCCCAAACAGTCTCTACTGAGCTTGGTTCTCTGTCTCTCTCCGTCAGACAGCTCTGTGTCTCTCAGCTTGGTTCCATACCATCTTTGCTGCTTCCCTCTTATCTTCTTGGCTTTCAGCCACAGCTCTCTGTTCAATGCTGCTCCGCCGCTGTTTAAGTGTCTCTGGCTGTCCACTCACAGCAAAGAAACTTCCCCCAGCTCTTGGCCACAGTACTCGGCCCAGTTTAACACTGTTCCGAGTTTCCGCAGCCCCAGCTGGGGCTGGGGGGCCTTGGCCCCCAGTGGGGCTCCCTGGCCCCTCTCTCCTCGTGGTCTCAAAACACGGCTACATCTCCTCCAACTACGTAATCCCTCTTCTTTTCCAGCCTGCTGTGATATGTTTAATTTTGCAGGGGCACTGATTCTTGATTCAACACCAAGAACACCACCCCCTGGAGTTATCCACTTTCCAACTCCAGGGGAAACCCCTTTTTAACCCACAACAGCAGGCATGTTCTTATTCTGTATTCCCGGATAACATTCAGTAAACCGATAAAGGGCTTGAGTTTTTTTCCCCCCCACAGTACTATTTTTATTTATTTCTACAGAACAGCTTGAGAAAATGAAGGTACACTTAGCCCCAGTTTACTTGCTGCTGTAAGCACTTTACCTTTTTTTCTTTTTCCCTCTCCCAAACTGATCAGTAACTGTGAAACCCAAGCTCAGGAAAGTGGTTGGAATTCCAGGTCCCAGTCTGGGGGAGGTGACACTTTCAGGCCCTGGGGGAAGAAGCCAACTGCTTTGTTTATCAACATGCAAAGGACAGCACAGCATTTCTGGTTCTCCAAGCAGCGGCATGTTGCTGTCCGAGGGGAAGAGGGGACAGGACACGAGGAAGGGTGCAAGCAGACTTGTTTATTCAGGCGTGTGCCCGATTCTTAATCGTCCCGCCAGGGAAAAGGGGCAGAACATCTGGTGGGCTATCAGACAGACAAATGGGGGAGCAAATCAGAACAGGGCACAGGCAAAAGGGGGAGGAGGAAGCCTGGGCATGTGCAGTTGTGCACCGTGTAGCATGAATACAGTGAAACCACATAATAACAGCAAAGTCCATATGAAAGTCCTGCCAATTGCTGTATGCTTTTCTCCATGCCTGGAACTGTTCCCATCCTGAATCTTGCTTCTCTACAGCAGTACTTTCAGGGAAGAGAGCTGCTTGCTTGGATGAAAGATGGTTGAGAGAAAAGTAGTGATGGGTCACAGGGGGAGAGGAAAAACGTGTTATTTGGGGGTGTAAAGCGGGGGGATGACAAGCTAACAAGGTAGTTGAAGCCACGTGAACAGGAAAAGGAGGGCTTGGAGGAAGACAGACCAGGACAGAAGGAGAGACCATCATGTTTCAGCACCTGAATATCAAATCTTAGGAAATAATGAAGGAAAGTAGAAATGAAGCTAACCTGTCCTTTGGTAATTTCCAAAATGGCTTAGCTGTCATATTTTAAGGAGGGTGTATTCCAGAGAACTTAATACAGAAAAGTGATCATATCAAATGACACATGTATAGGGATTCATTATGGGTGATTTTTATATAAGAGAACACATACACATGCAAAGATTTGAAAGCATTTTGGAATAAAAACTATTGAAAAAGACCCATTTTGGGTATAAATCTATAAAGAGACGCTTGGACAGATAGTCAGGACAAACAGTAGATTTGCATTTTCATGTTTTGCTCATGTGCACATGTAAATCAGTTTGTAGGACCTGTATTTTGAGTTCATATAGTCATACAGATAACTATACATAAAGACATCATATTGAAGTTCTGATTTGATCCTAAAATCTGTTTATCAAATTGTTACTTAAAGATGTTCTAATACAGTACCGTGCATTAGTACCTCTCATTTTAAAATTTGTTAAAAAAGGATTTTTTTTTTTTGTCCCTGATTTTTCTACAGAGCACTTAAATTTTACTCTACATTTCAGAGCTTTTTAATCCAGTGCTCACAAGTGAATCTACATCTTGATGACAGAGTACACATTTAACAATATAGACAGCATAATGCTACTGGTAATGAAGCTTTTACTACCTGCTTTTATACAGTAGTCTGAGCTGTAGTTTTGCTGTGGTGGTTCCGATTCCTAAACTTAAATGTATTTATACCATGTTTGTAGGAAGCAGGCCCAGTCTGGAATCTCTCTGCTGTTAACATACACAAACATGTCTATTGAACCTGTATATTCTGGAATTTGGTTCTGTTGCTGTATTTCATTTGTGAATGGTATTACTGCATTTTGAGAGTGTGCACTGATTTCTTTTGATCTAAAAGACTGCCATCTGCATCATCTTAGGGCTCCAGTCACAAAAGATTTTGAAAGAGTTGAGCTGCATTCTAAGAAATTGTCTTCCCAGTGTTGTTTTTTTTCCTTTTTTTGGCCAGAAAAAGCCTGCATCTGTTTTTGCTGGTAGGGGCAGAAACACTTTGAACCTGGAAAATAAGTATGGTAGCTTAGTCGTAATTTTAAGTAAAGATAGCAGCTTTTGAGAGGAAAAATGCATTCCTAATTCATTACTGATTCTTTCAACACGGAGCTATGTGAGTATGTTTCAGTGTAAAGTGTCTCTAAATTTGAGTATGGTATATTGTGTTGGAACAAGTTTAATCAGGGATCTTTCATGTGACAAAGAACAACTCTGAGCTGGCTCTGAGCAGTGGTTGCTGGAACTGGGTTCCGTGATGTTTATGCAGGTGTGCCCACAGGGCTGTGTGTTTAGTGCCCTTTTGGTTCAGCAAAACTTGCTTTACAAAAAAACTAAACCCCCAAACACTGTCGAGGTCTGAGCAGCCTCCCAGATTTACTAATGCAGAGCTACGACAGCGCAGCCCTTCTCTCATTAAAATGAGGCTGAGTTAGTGCACTCTAATCCCTGCACACTTACAGAGGAAATGGATCAGTTCTGCAGCTGTTATTTCGCTTTCTTATATCTAAATACACACATCTAAACATCCAAATATTCGCACAGGGTGTAGATATAACAAATATATATATATATATATATATGTTACGATGCAGCTCTAATCTGTACAGGAACACACGTAGCTGTATTTGCTCCCAGTTTTACCCATGATGTTAAGGAATGGATTTGAGGGTTCGCTTTGTTAGCAATGGCTTTTTTTTTTTTTTTTTTTGGCTAAGTAGAAAAGGAGGCTTTGAATTTTTAAATAGTTAATTACATAATTATGTTTTTATATATCATATTATATGTACATAATCAAATTCCAGCCCGCCCGCCCCCTTCCCCTTTTCCCCAAAAGCAACTCGCACGGTAATGAAAAGCTGAGTTACCCGGAGGCTTCGGCAGGCTGCGCTTGGCGTTATTATTGTTTGTTTTCCCCCGGCGCCGAGCAGTTCCAAAGGTCAGGGAAGCGGCGGCCAGGACAGCGCGCCGGGAGCCGAGCCCGGCTGCCGCCCCGGCCAAACTCCGCCACCGGCGGCGGCGGCGCAAACGTC